GACAGAGAGTAAAAGACGGAGGAGATGCAGCAGCAGGCATGAAGCTGATGGCTCCTCAATCACTGTGTCTCCCCCCTCTATAGGGAGGTCAGAGCATCTGCAAATGTCCTCTTCCTTCTCTCTCTTTGCTCCTACACTGTTATGTAATAGAGCAGGGAGAAAAATGAGGTGAGAGAAGAAGAGAAAGAGTTCTCCTTTTTACTTGGAAAGAAGGTACTTTGACAGTTCCTTTTTGAACTTTAAGTTTTACCTTAATTACCTTAACCTTATTCCCAGACACAAGCTGGTATGGCTGACATATTTCAAAATGAAGCAGGTCATTTTTCCATAAAACCACATCCCCAACAAGAAGTAGTTTGTATATAGTTTAAGAGCAACTAAAAACACACATAAAAACAACCATGTTTCACTTGTCTGTAAATAAAACATATCTGACATCATCATGAAAGCATCATCATGTACTAAGCCAAAGGAATTCAGGTACAGGTAATAAAATAAGCCATTTATATTTGGCAAAGAGTTATTGAGACATTTTTATGGCTTTGCGCCTCCAGCAAACCTCAGCGAGACCCTAGATTTGAAAATGTAGATAAGATGGAACCGTAGTTGAACTTTCCAAGAGTGATTGGCAGCCAAAAAAATTGCTCCAAGATCCAGGAGGTTAAATAACAGACAGTTATTGATGAAGCCCCTATGCTTCATCAATAACAAAGAGACTGGGAAAATGGTATTCTTGGAAGATCTCCAAGTTAATTAGGGGGAAAAGCTAAGCCATGAAGTACAGCCTAATTATGGTACAAATTATCCAGACTTAAGACAGTTAAAAAGCAAAACATTTTAAAAAGCTGCAGGAAATCAAACTAAAGTATCCGACAGGTACAATACAGTTCCAAGGCTCCCCACCAAGATATGATGGCTGCAGATATTTAAAAGAAGATTGAGATACAAGAGGCAGGATGTCTGCTGGAACTGAAACAGAGGGCTGTCTGGTTCAAAGTAACACCTCACAGGAAACGTCTCCACAGTCTGTTTCATGCATATCCCACTCAGTGCAGCAGAACATGCTCACACAGCAATTTCCCCCCTCTTTTAATGTTCAGTGCAGTCAGGTAGATGATTGTGCTGCTGATTGATACCAGTTTCCAATGATGTGAGAGACTAAATAATCCAACTCATGCAGGAAGGGAACAATTTCCGTGCTTTGCGTTGTGAATGCAAAAAAGAGAGACGGACTGCTTTCCATCTCATCCAGACTCTGACTGAGTTACAGCTGTTATAAAATCAGCCGGTAAAGTCGGACCCACGCAAACACACAAATGCGGGGGTGACCTCAGCTGACTGATGTTCGACGCTCTGCCATATGAGAAGGGAAATGCGGTTACACAACAACAATCTTTACACCTGTCTGGGAAATGAGCTCCGCTCGCCTTCGGATGTGCCCTGCGGTATTAAGTGATGAATATTTCAGATTGGACATGAGACTGTTTAAAGTTCAGCCGCGCTGCGGTGTTTTTCCCAGGCGTAGGTGTGCTGTTACATAAGAGTTGGAATAATCGGCGGCAGCTGAGCTTACTGGACCTGTACGACCAAATTCACATGTCTACTTCAACACGTGCATTCTTTTTCACGCCGGTTTTCCCACAGATTCAGTACTTTCTTCAACCAAGGTCGCTATTTGACAGTTGTACTTGTCTTACTTGTCAAAAGCTGAATAAAGACATTCCTGAAAACCTGCCCAACTTCAGGACAAATGCCTTGGGAAGGCTTCAGAGTTAGATCCAGCTTGGTAACACTTCAGCTGCCACATTCTGACATTTTAATGAAAAGGCTGAAATATAAGCTTCACACAGAGTCAAACTGTGATGTTTCCACTCTTTGCTGTAGGTAGTAAATCTGAAATTGTGCCGACTTGATGTTTTCTGCTTAAACTGTTGTTTTGACAGAAAAAAATCTGCTGTGTTGCAACATAAGGGATATTGTATAATATAATATTGATCTCTCAGGGAGGGCTGGAGGGACTCCTGGAGTCTGGAATACGTTGATTTTAGTCAGTTATCATAGAAGAGATGACCCAAAGAAGGCTGAAGAGCGATATGGTGTTTGTGTAAGGAACGAAGATGGAAAAAAAAAAAGGAATATCACTGATATTTCATTCAACAAATTTTATGCAATGCTAATCATTTAGCTTATACGCCTCAAAGAATAGATTATATCCACCGAGTAAAAATTGGTTGAAAGACATTTAAAAGGTTGAAAAGTGAAAAGCTTTAATTTTCAAAACTTTGGACAGATGCTGAAAACCAGAAGTAGCCTAAAAACTTATACATTACATCTGGTATTTGCTGGGCCTAATGGATTAAGGGTAGTGTTCTTAACAGTGATTAAATTATATCTATTATAATCTCTATTTTGGGAAATGGCAACTCATAATGGTATAGAATGTGCATCCAATATTTCCTTGATTTGCTTCCTGAAAAATTTGTTCATTCTTTATGTGTGTCTTGAATAATAGTTGCCTCTTTGCAACCTTCTTTACAGATAACTATTTTCCAAGTATATTTACTAAACTGTTAATAAAGATTCATTTACCCGAAACTGCTGCCCCCGCTAACTTCAATATCCAAAAAAATTTAAAAATGCTTATCTAGATGCCACCTACATTTATCATTCTAACAACAATAAACCCCTATATCAGGACGATTAAACTTAAGTCCTTCAAATCTAGTGAGTGTCCTGCATCCTTTAGATGTGTCCCTGCTTCAGCGTAGTTGATTTTCACTGTTGACTGGTTAACAAGCTTTTGCTGAACTGCAATAACCTGAATCAAGTGTGTTAAAAAACTAAAAGTCTTAGCACTCTGGCCTTGGAAGACTGGAGTTGAATACCTACAGTGAGTACAACAAAGCTAACTACAACAAGCACACAAGAGCTAACCATGACTACAATCACAAATACACTTCATATAATAACCACCCATCCCCTAAAGACTCACAAGGCCACCAAGGACAACTATGACAAGAACCACAATTTCCATATGTACAATTCTTGGGGACTGGTGATAAATTCCTAAATTGGACAGCATATTTGGACGTTTCTACCTTTTGAGATTTTTAATATTCTTTTCTGTAGGCTCCAGGTTGGTGAAGCTGTTAACACTCCGGCATTGCCACAAGAAAGCTCTGATTTCAGGTCCTCAAATCGCTCATGTTTACATAGACATATATCTACTATCTAGGCATGTAAGCATCTTCAGCAACTATTTTTTTAAAGGAGGAGTTGCTCTCAGTGGCTCTGGGAATTCTAAAGGGATACCATCAGAACAGACCGGCAAGACATTATATTTCCTTTCTGCAAAATATTCTACCATCATCAACTATCATAAAAAACCCCAAAGGGATTTAAAAGGGAAAGCAAAACAGCCACAAAGGTGGTGGAACACTTAAATTCTCAGAGCGGGACAATGGATGACTGTGCTTATTGAGAAAGCCATCTATATGTGAGTTTGGTACCAGAAGAATTTTAAACTTAAAGGTATATTAAAGGATGTTCTTTTTCCAGGTGGATCATCTAAATAAGTGGTCCTCCTAATTGTCAATCATTCTGGTGATATGTTTACGTAAGGCCGTCTTACTTGCTCGTCCCAGGTTTGCTATCCTTTTCTGCACACTTTCCGGCGTATATCTGTGGTGAGCTGCGGTTTCAGAAAGTCATAGAACCTCACCTTTTTCACTATGGTTCTTTGAAAATGGCCGTGCGTCGTAAGAGACAAAGTGTCTAAGAAGTGTATGAGAACAAAAGAAAGGCATCAGAAGAGGCAAATATATCCCAGAATGCGGAGAGCTCTTCTCGCAAAGCATTATGGGATTTGCTGTCAAAGCGGCCCCCTGCTGTCACCATAGGCTGTGGCTACCAGACACCTGCGACTAATAAAGATATCGCAGGTTGACGCTGAGTGACGCGACCAACGGGGTGCAAAAAGTAGTGATCATTTGCCCGAATAGTCAGTTAACTGAGTTCACTATAAAGTCCCCACTTTATATAGTGATTGAGGTATTAAGGGGTTAGGGCGAATGTTCGGACACAGTAAGCTTGTACAGTATGAGCTATGAGAAAAGCAATTTTTAAACATAGCATGCATGAGGAGAAATGAGCTTTTGCATACTCTTTTAATAGACTCATACTCTTTTAATAGACCTTCCCTCACCGGAGAAGGTACAGTTTTTAGCATGTGCAGTTTTTTCAAGTGGAGAGGGCAGGACTATTCAATCAATTGTGATTTTCTGGACAATTCTTTCCTTCTTTTTTTTTTTGGACAATGGTTTCTAAACCTTTAGGCTCTATATTTTTTGGAAAAATTCATGCTCCCAACATGCTCTTCCTGTACTAACATCACATCTAACCAGTACAGAGGACAAGTTCGCTTTCTATGTTTACATTAAATGAATGGATTAAGAACAAGCTGCAAGTCAAGTTCACAAATATCAAGGAAAGTGACAATCAGAATGGATCTTTATTTACCCTCTCAGGTAGAATTGCTTATTGTATTAAGTCACAGTATTTACAATATTAATAGAACATACAAGATAAATTTAATTTGACATTTCATCTTGAAAAGGTGAGTTGCTCCAAGCAAGTGCCAGTGATGCTTCATATAAAATCAACTTTACCAGTCAGATTAACTACCCCTGTCTATAATGTCCACATCTTGGTCAAACTATAGTGCCAGAGGTGCAAAAGTACATAGAGATGGTTGGGGAATCACCAAGACCTAAGAAAACAGATTGAAGCACCAATCTTAGCCATTGCCAAGTTAATCACCCCTGTTGACATGTATTTGCTTACTTTTCCCAAAGTGCATTAAAATATAAATTATGTATCTCCTGTAAGTTACATAATTAAAATTCTGTCACCTGAAGAACCAAGGGTTTAATACTTGGCAAGCTCTGAACCAAACACCTCTGGCAGCAATATAATCAGTAAACTGTAGTTCTTTAACTTACAAAAGGAGCTGCTTTCGTCCTTTGTGCCTTCCATGGTGCCATCCGGCAGCATCTGGAGGTAGAATCCGTGTCTGCAGTAGAGCCGTGAGACAATGCCCTTCAGCTGGGGCTCTGCAGTGCAAACATAGTGTTAACGAAACATGTTAGCCTCTAGGAACACACAAACACATACATCCACACACACTTGTCAGATGGCATTCATCAATGCAAACGTCGATTTCAGAGCATGTAGAATAAACAGGACAAGTCTTACAATTTACTCAGTTAAACATTTAGATAGAAAGAATGTGTGTGTGCATATGGCTAGTTGCTTTATTTCCTCTGACAAATTGACCCAGGAAGGTAAATCATTAGCTTCATCTGCATTAGTTTGGCTTCTGTATTTGAAGCCATGCAAGTAGGACTGAAAGATTTGACTAAATAAACAAAACAATCTGTTGTTGAGTTGAGAAAAACAGAATTCTTATTTTATTCTTCCTTTTAACAAGATTATCATTAAGACCTGAGATTAGTTTGGCCTTCGTGTAATGTAGCCAAAAGAAATTTTCATTTGATTAATGTAGTTGCTATATGAAAACTTTACAGAAAAAGGTCAATAACCAGCATACAGTTTTTTATTAGCTTCTTAATTTGTGAACTAATATGCTGAGACTTTGCATCTGGCTAGTTTAAGTCAGCATTGGTTTTTCTTTTCGTTCAGAAGTGCTGAGGAGGACTAAATCGAAGATCAGAAAAAATGTCAGGATGCTGAAGTGCTTCTAAAATCAACTTTTAATGAATCACATGAAATATGGAAGAGCATGGAGGAGCATGGGGCAGCTGGCAGTTTGATTTCAATTGACAGAAAGGATTCACAGTGTGTAAATCATTAAGAAAGAGATTAACCGGGAAATCTGTTTGTTTAATATTTCTGAGTATAAAACCAAAGAGGCACAATGTCTTAAAACCAAGCCACATTTGCCCTCTATAATGACTTCTTCTTTCACACTTTAATCTTTGAAATCATAAAAACTCTGATGTTAAATAAAGATAACCCTCTTAAATAATGAAAGTTATTCACAAATAAAAGCTTCCCAATCAAAACAGGGCAAAAAAAAAAAGAAAATTGTTAAAAATAGTTAAATGACAAATAATTATGAGGTTTTTTTTCGGTTAGACGTTCCTCACTGCATACGCCTGATTACTGTCTGATCTGTGGATCAAGTTAATCTTAAAGATGATGGTTCTGATCACTTGGAATAGGCTAAAATATCTCAAACAAATGAAATTCAGCTCCAAACTATTTGATGACATCTTTTGGATTGGTAAGGGTTTCTTGGCTTTTGGACCAAAAACAATATATCTGAAGGTTTAAGCTGAAGAGTGTAAAAAGCCATCGTCAAATCTCGCATTTAATCTGATTAAGATACTAGGCCATGACCTAAAAAAGATTTAAATAAAATCTGTGTGATTGAATACAATTATACAAAGAAAATCCGACAACTACAGCAACAAAAAAAAAAGATTGCTACGCATCACTCATCAAGTTACGGAAGAGGATTAGGGCCACTGAAAAAAAAAAAAAAGTTAACTGATTTTGAAATTTTATTTCAGTTTAACATGGGAAAAAAGTCAGAATTCTGACTTTAATCTCAGAATTCTGAGATTAAAGTCAAAATTCTGAGAAAAAAGTCAGACTTCTAAGAAAAAAGTCAGAATCCTGAGATTAAAGACAGAATTCTGACTTTTTTCCTATGTTAAACTGAAATAAAAAGGTAAAAATCAGTTAACCCTTTTTTTTTTTTCCAATGGCCCTAATCCTCTTTCGTATCAAGTACTGTCTCCTGTGTATCCTATGACTAAGGTAGGAAAAAAGGAAATTACTAAAATCCTTTGACATAAGCTCTCTTTGTTATTTTTAAAAACACAATTCAAAATATCTACATAACAGTTCTAAAATTAGACTCTTGAGTTGTTTTTTAGTGTTATATTTTTCAACACGAATATAACTTTAGTTGTGCCAGACTTTAAAAAGAAGAGGAAAATCAAGAAAATAAGGGTGGTCTTATATGTGTTCAATGACTGTACTGTAAATACTTTAACAAACTCTCTTAACTAACTTTTAAACATAATAAGATAGCAGAAAAATTACATCAACATGATGCAAAATAAAACAAAAATAACATAAAATATAAAGAAATACAAAAAATAATACTATATTGAAATGAAATAAAAAGCAATGACATCTGTATAATATAATAAAAATCAAAAATAAAATAGTTTAATATGCAAATTAGTTAAAAGTTGTTTATCAAAGGAAACCCAGCAGTGTGCATCAACAGAGGCATCAGATAAGTCAATTTATTCCATGACAGCAAACAACAAAATTTTTTTTCTCCAAAGCTCAATACCGGTATCATCACAAGTTTGCGTCCATGATTTACTAAACAGCAGGAACAGATGTTCCCAGGAGAACCTAATCAAATTCAGGCTGGCTTTGTTTTATCTTTAACCACCATGACATGGATTTGCTAAAGACATCCTGTACTTAATCCCCACTTTTATACTAAACCTGTCACACAACAAGTTTAAAGGCTTTTCATGGCTGACCACATCCTCTGCATCGAGCCCGAGTTGTTGTAACCACAGAAAGATAAGAGCCATCATCCATCCATCGCTGGCTGACTAGACAGAGAAGGTCAGGCATGGAGTGTCGTAATCTGTTATGTGTTAATCTCAAATTAAGCCCCATACTACACAGTGGGCCATGTCCATCTGAAAACAGCCGCAACCGGGCACAAAGGATCTGAGCAACAAACACGCAGCGCTGACCTTTAATAAGTCTCTGCCTCTGCTCTGAGCAGAGCTGTTGAGTAATGTTGCTGCATTTAAAACAGAGGGAATACTTCTTAGACAGAAGCGAAGGCAGGACATCTGGTGTGCAGAGCTGAAAATCTGCATTAACACACATGTTGTTTCTCCATCATGGATTTTCTGAGCTACAACCAAAATTCCCTTACCCATAAACCTTTTCTAGATATTACAGTATGAAATACAGCCTCAAACATTATCTGTGTTATTAAAATAAATGAGACAGAGCAACACAAAGTAGATCATGGTAAAGCGAAGAGTTAAAGAATGCAGGGTTTCCACTAGGACTGAAATAATTAATGAGATTAATCGTGATAAATCGATTATTTAAATAACTGTCAACTAATTTAGTAATTGATTCATTGTTAATTGGGATTTAGAGACCCTAAAATGTGCCTTTATCTGACCAAGTGATTATATGTGCATTTAAGATAAAAAAAAAAAGAAATTGTCTGTCAATATGCTCCATCCAGAAATCCTCACGTAGAAACGTTTTAGTTTCACCTCTTTTAAATCTGTAAAAATAACTTATTTAAGGAACCATTTGCTACCTGATTATCAATCGATTAATTGAAAAGATAATTGACAGATTAATAAATAATCAACATTTGTTTTATGAATGAAATCTGTTAAAAGGGACTTCCATTTGTATTTAGCCACCTTTAACCTGATACTTTTCACAGTGCTGTGTTCTGAAGTCTTAACCAGATAGGCAGCCAAGTTATTCATGATAACATTGCACAAGTTGCAGACATCTATTCAGAGGAAATAATCTGTTAACAAGCATCAATCATCCATCCAAAGATCTGGCCTTTGTTGTTTCAAGCAGACAAGATGAAAACCTTTGTTGAGAGAAATCCACAGGAAGTTATGTGGAGGACAGTTATTAAAATGTTCAGATACCCAAAAAATCTGGTAGAGCAGGAGAAGTAACAACAATCTTTCAGTCTGACTTATTGATTATTTTATCCATCCATCCATCCATCCATCCATCCATCCATCCATCCATCCAAAGATCGGCCTTTATTGTTTCAAG